AAAATTTCTAGTGTGAAGTTCCGCTACATGGTCATCCCAAATAAACAAACTATACATTTTTTGAAAGCTTATAACACCAGGAACACAAATCCAGAGAGTTCCAAGCAAAATTTTTGCACTAACTTGATTTAGGGCCTGATGAATATTGTGATAATTGTTAAAGATACATTATGGGAGATTTTTATAGAGAGTTGGCCATTCTTGCTATAACAATTCAAAAGTAGATGATGAAAGAAGAATATATTGAAAAATTCAGTCAAATTACTTTATTCTGAAGATAGTTATCATCGTTGTAATATTTGCCTAGAAATGGTAGCGAAATGTGTCTTCACCTTCGCCGATCGTTTGATTGACAGGCGTTAACTCCACCTACATATCTCGATTATCAAGTAAAGTTTTCAATGGCATACGGAAACGCTTTACAGCGGCATCGCTAAGTACACTCTATCATTTAGCCTTGATCTAACTGACGTATTTTCATCAGGTTACCCCTTATTTGATTTAATCAATTAGTGAAATCCTATTTAAATCCGAGCTGTAGCCGAGCCATCCGTGGGTCTACAGAGTTGATTTTGGTCTTGTTGTTTAAATAAAGATCTAATTTATAATGTCTATAACATCTGAAGCCTAAATTAAGACTTGCAATAATCAGATTTAGCTCTTGCATAATGCATGTTTAAATAAATGCTATATTTATACTAATAATTGTGAAGTTGACATAAAATTGAATATTGGCGAAAACACCCGATGCCTTCATCCTATGCAAAGAATATGCTGTTGGTTAAATTTTGATTTAAAGTAAAATGCAGAAAACATAATAGACAAGGAAACATACAGAATTTCGGAAATCCATTTATGGTAAAAGGAGTTATCTCCCTTTATAGAAAATATCAATAATTATTGATAACGGTAACAGGATTTAAAAATAAACAAGGGCCTATAAAGTTCAACCTTTTTTTTTCAGATAGAATTTGAAGCGGAAGGTCTAACAAATATTTAACCTAAAACATAGCATCTACAGATATTTAGTTTTCTCAATAAAATAGATATGGCCAAAACTAAAAAATACTGTAATGGGAGTGACAATATTGTAATGAAGAGAAAAAATATCAAATGGAGTTTAATGTCTTACTGTTCTGTACCAACCCGTATAATGAAGATGGGCGTACGTCATACATAATTGTTTGGGAGGGGGGGTTATTGTACGTGTACAACTAGTATGCAAGTGTCATCGTCGGTGTGCAAGGGGCGGATCCATGAATTTTTGCAGGGGGGGGGGGGTCATGTTCCTAAGACAATGTATCTCCTCCCCCCCTCTCCCGCATGGTCTTTGTCGTCAGAGAAATTCAACACCTTGTTTGACGTCAATTTTTATTATGAATTAATACAATGACATTGTGATTCAATTTCATGGATGCAAAGCATTAATTGTGATATCACATAATGTCTATATCATTATCTCGTGCTTTGAGTGCCCATCCTGTCCCAAATCTTACGATAAAGGATAAAGCACACGGCCGAGAAACCTTTCTCATAAAAAGTGTTGATTTACACTGTCTTCATTTGCTCAGTTGGTGACAACATTTCTGCAAAGCTTTCGAAGCTTTCAGGGGTTTGTTTATAGTAGCAAATTCTATTCAAGGTAACAGGACATTGATATGTGATGAATAATGGCCGAAATGAAATGGGGTTTAACGTCCTACTGTTTTCCTCCGAACTGGGCTACTACGCCATACAGTGTGCTATGAGGGAAATTTTTGTCCGGACAGCGGCACTACGGCCTACTCTTATATCGAATTCCAACTGTCAGGGGATCTTTTACGTGCAAGACTGTCCATTATGTAAATACAAAGTACAACTGAGGGGCGTCAGCCTCGACATTTTTATTTGTATTTACATAATGGACAGTCTGAGGCTATTATCAAACTTAAAACATAGCACCATAAAGATACAAATAATGGATAGTTTTCTAAAAGAACAAGCCACAAAATAATGGATATATTCTTAAAACAATTTGCACATGCTCATGAATGCAGGTGACAAAACACTCCAGTCATACAATGCAAGCATACGCAGACAGTCCAAAATATTCGACATGGAAACGACATGTTTATAACACAGTCGAAAACAAATATTAATAATGAGAATATATGTGATAAACATTTGGATACTAATTACATTTGGTAATGTACTTGATATGGAAGATAATAGCCGTACAAATTGTGATGTTCTTGATATGGGGAATAATAGCCGTCAAAGTTGTGATGGAAAGGCAGCTCACGAGAATGATTTAGATATTGATAATATTCTTAGTACTGTGGTTAAAGGACAATATTGGTGTCAGTCATTATTACATATGTGATAGAACTGGTTAAATATATTCCAAATATAATTTTAACACAGAGATCATTGCTACGGGAGACTTGTAACAAGCACGTGAAAAAACGGGAAGTGACGCCAAACATGACTAACATACTGAAGTTGTCCTTCTATATAACATACTGAAGTTGTCCTTCTATATAACATACTGAAGTTGTCCTTCTATATAACATACTGAAGTAACGAGCGGTAACAGTTAAACGATCGAATTTCATTTCACTGATAATTCCGTTGAAGTTGAAAAGTTATTATATGGGACGGTGAGAGGGTATCTCACAATTCAAAAATAGAATTGGCTGTCACTAGATAAGGGACACGAGAAAAAGTAGAAAAATCCCATGCATTACCCCGTTTTTATTCATTCTGTTCTTAATAAAAACATGGTAATGCACAGACTTTTTCTAATTTGTTCCTTATCTTTTATCTACTGACAGCCAATTCTTTTTTTTGAATGTCAGATATCCTCTCATCGTCTCATATAACAACTTTTCATCTTCAACGGAATTATCAGTGAAATGAAATTCGATCGTTTGTCTGTTACCGCTCGTTACTTCAGTCAGTTATATAGAAGGACAACTCATATTTGTCATGTTTGACGTCACTTCCCGTTTCTTCAAGTGCTTGTTACAAGTCTCCCGTAGCAATGATCTCTGTGTTAAAATTATATTTGGGATGTATTTAACGAACTCTATCACATTTTTTATAATGACTGACACCAATATTGTCCTTTAATATGGAGGGTACTACCGTCCAAATTTTTATTTGAAATTTAATATATACTCTGATATAAGTGACAGGACACAGGATCACAGGCACAAATCAATTCACAAAATTTTTTGTTCATTCAGGGGCCATAATCCAGGAAGTTACGGTTCGATATGCACCAATATTGCAAGGAATCGAGATCTTTGGGTTAAAAACACACATGTTCAGTTTTATCAGAATGGGCTAAAAATTGTGACCTCTAGTGTGTACAATCAGGAGCCATAATCCATGAAGTTACGGTCCCATACAAGCCAATACCGAGATCTTTGGGATATATACCTATATTTCAAGTTATGACCTGTAGAGTGTCCACAAAGAAGGTGTGAAAATGTGGGCGTATAAAAATGTATCATCAATCTATTGCCGAGAATACTATTAAACGAATAAGGGACATATAACGAAGGATTTAAGTGGAATTCTTTATGTAGACAAATCCGTGAAATCAACATTCATTCGGTCATGTAACATTTTGGTAACTATGAGGTTTTAAAGTAATTTTATGTACTGTAATTTAATTTGTTCAGAGAATAAATTATTCCAAAATACATGTTCATTTTTCAGATAAGTGTCTATTATTTATTAAAAATAAAGGACAGTATTATAAATAATAAAAGAACGCGTACATTCTCCTATATACTGGATAAAAACATCAAAGGGTAACGTCATATCTATGTTTTAATTTTTGTTAATCATATCGCAGAACTTCAGATATTTGTTTGGGACTAGAATAAAAGGGTCTAAGAGCTTCCCTCAAAGAATAACAAGTTTTAGTGACTGAAATATATGTGGGATTTCTCCTTTACCATCCTGCATTTCAATACTTGATTGTCATAAATATTGGAATGAGATGTTATACGTGTAATAAAATTGATTCCAGTTACTTTCTCCTTATAAAACTCTTTTCATTGGACTCGCACTGTTTAAACAATATTATCGAATCAAACTGATATTGACTGACAAGCTATTGAATTATTGATGTTTGCCTTCAATTTTTTTTGCTTCTAAAAATTAATAAAATATGATATGAAATCCCACAAGACATAGTGGATCAATAAAATATTATATTTTCATACCCAAAATAACCCGAGACTCACCTAATTATCAAAAATTGGCCTGCTTAGATCATGTGAAATGAAAAAGTTTTAACATCCTACTTTTCTGCACCAGCTGCGCTAATGAAGACGGACATACATCATGTGGTGTGAGCTATGAAGGAAATTTTGCCCATCAGCTGCGCTACAATTTATTCTTATTTTAAATTGCAACAGTCAGGGTTCTTTTACGTATAAGCCAATTTGTATACAGGACCTTCGTTTTTTTATGCCATCCAAATAACTAGATAGTCACTGGACACATAGTACTGCACCACTGACAGGAAGCCACTTTGGAACTTTCTTGTCCAAAACCAGACTTGAAGATGAGATCAGTTTGAGCCTTTAACACAAGCTTAACTAACTAAGCCTACTGGGCTGCCTGCCAAGATTAGCGCAGTATTCTCAAATGTCTGCTGAACTTTAGAAAACCAGTATGCAATCATTTTTGAACACTTAAATCAACTGGGTTTTTTCTGAATGTCAATGATATCCAAAGTTCCAATTCATTATTTTAAAGCTACTCAAAACATGCATTTAAATCAAAAGTAATTTTGTTGAGAAATAATGAGGAATTCACAAAGAGTGTCAATTTGGAATTTTTGGACATTTTTTAACCAAATTGTTCAGTTGAATTACAGTAATGTTTATGAGTTACTTCTCTTCTTGGTCACAAAAAGACTTGATGGCTCTAATCTCAATAGTAAAATTTCATTGGTCAGAAAACGGTAATTTATAAATAAAACCCGCCTTTTTTCATTCCAGATGATAATTCCAGATTTAAACAAAGAATTTGTTGAAGAATTCATCTGGCCAGCTATACAAGCTAATGCTGTGTATGAAGACCGTTATTTATTAGGCACTGCCTTGGCGCGTCCCTTAATTGCTAGGTAAGTTATTTATAAAAGTCTGAGGAAGAATATGCTCTTTTTATATGCCCACATGGAAATGTGGTCGTAATTTGTCGTTGGACCGTCCATCGTCCACAATTTCTTGTGAACACTCTACAGACTACATTTATCATCTGATTGTTTTGAAATTGATATATTTTGTTTATATTAGTGAGATGAAGAAGCCTATTTAATTTCAGTAATTTCTGTTAATTTCTTCTTGAGTTATTGCACCTTGTGAACACTCTAACAACTAAAATTATCATCTGATCTGTATGAAACTGGATGGGCAACCTTTAAATTAGTGAAACAAAGAAGTCTATTGAATTTCAGCAATTTCCGTTAATTATGTCTAGAGTTATGGCCCTTATTGTTTCACTTTGTTGAACCGTGGGAACGCTGTAACAACAAAAGTTATCATTCGATCTGTATGATATTTATATGCATTATTTAAATGAGTAAAACCAAGAAGCCTATTGAATTTCAGCATTACCGTTAATTAGGTCTAGAGTTATGGCCCTTGTTTCACTTTGTTGAATAATGTGAACGCTTTAACAACTAAAATTATCATCTGATCTGTATGAAACTGATGGGCAACCTTTAAATTAGTGAAACGAAGAAGCCTATTGAATTTCAGTAATTTCTATTAATTATGTCTAGAGTTATGGCCCATGTTTCACTTTGTTGAACTGTGTGAACACTGTAATAATAAAAGTTATCATCCGATCTGTATGATATTTATATGCATTATTGGATTTCAGCAATTTAAGTTAATTAGGTCTAGAGTTATGGCCCTTGTTTCACTTCGTGAATAATGTGAACGCTCTAACGACAAAAGTTATCATCCAATCTTTATGAAATTTGTATGTATTATTACAATTAGTGAAATGAAGAATCCTATTGAATTTCAGCAATTTCCGTTAATTATGTCTTAAGAGTTATGACCCTTCTTTCACTTTGTAGAACCCTGTGAACACTCTAATGACAAAAGTTATCATCCGATCTGTATGAAATTTATATGGAATATTTAAATGAGTGAAATTAGCAATTTCTGTTACTTCTGTCACATTTATTTTGTGTAGTTTAACCACTTGTTTTCTGTATTTTTTTTTTGGTAGGCCTACAGTTTACCCATTTCTTTTGTGTATTTTACCCATTTCTTTCGTACAGTTTATCTATTTTTATACGCCCACATTTTCATGTGGACGTATATTGTCGTCGCCCTGTCCGTTCACAATTGTTTGTGGACACTCTACAGGTTACAATTTTTATCCGATTTCAACAAAACTTGAAATATAGCTTTATCTCCCTAAGATCTCGGTTCCTTTTGATATTGGCATGTATCGGACCGTAACTTCATGGATTATGGCCCCTGATTGTACGAAAAATCGCGTTTTTAGCTTGTGGACCCTATAGCGGTCATAATTTTTATCTGATTTAAAACAACCATTTGAATATATCACCGTTACACCCTAAAGATGGTTGAGTTTGAATTTCGTGAAAATCGGCCCAAAACTGACAGACAAAATGGCCGCCCCTCGTTCTCAAATAGCGTAAAAATATGGTATATCAAGGTTGTGGACCCTCTAGAGGTCACACTTTATTTCTGATTTTGATGGCACTTGAAATGTAAGTTTATAACCCAAAGATCTTGGTTCCTTTTGATTTTTGCGCATATCGGATCGTAACTTCCTGAATTATGGCCCCTGATTGTACGAAAAATCGCTTTTTGTTTAGCTTGTTCTCTATTCATCTCTTGCAAAATGTGGGCGTATCCTGCCTGGCAGCCGCTGGTTAATCCTATTTTAACTGAAAAACCTAAGGTAAATAATTGAAAAATTATTATTACAAGTTAGCATCTGTAGCCTATTTAAATATGTGTAATAATATATAGAATGTATTATTTATCCCTATAACCATATGTTTGAATGGTTTTTTTATTATTTAATGTAATTGGAATGGACCTATCAAATTTAACCATATGTTTGAATGTTTTTATACACCCACATTTTTGATATTCAACAATCCATAACCTTTATCTCCAGAATTACCCCCCTGTGATAAGTTTTTTAAACAGATTTACATGTTGTAATTGGAATATTCAATCTATCAAATTTCCCCAAAGAATTTATTGTGCTACAGTTTATTTGATACATTCTCTAAAATGAGATGGGGGGTTTGATGGCCAAATGGTTAGCAGGTGCATGCTGTATCATAAGGCCTGTCATTGAGTCAACTGGCGTGGTTTCGAATCCCCGGTTGTACGTGATGAGGAGTAGGGCCGCCTGTCCTGCCTCGTAGGTTTTCTCAGGGTCCTCCGGTTTCCTCCCACTGCTAAAGACCCCTACGCGCAAGCGAATTATTGATATAAAATTAAACCATATGTTAGTCCCGAAATGACCTAGTTTGTGTTGAGTGGACGTTAAACCCCATTTCTCTCTCTCTCTCTAAAATGAGATTAGTGCTAATGTTGCATGGATTTCAATATATTTCCACCTAAATAAACATCAATTGAAATGTTAACATAATCATTGTTAATTAATATTAGTCTACTACATGTAATTCTTTTTTTAAAATTGCAAGAAGCGACAAATTTTACCTTTTATTAGAACTATACGCATTATTTGAAAACACATAGGTAGAATGGTTTAAAAGAAGAATGTAAAATTTGTTACCTTTAACTGGATAAGACTTAAATAGGCCGCAAATTTTGAGACAACAACCAGGCCTCTAATGAAAATAAGAAAAAAAATAATCAAATTGACCCTAAGCGGTCAGTGGGACCATATGTGACTGACATAATTCAAGGAGCTAAAATATTTGAACATTTTTATGGTTTCAATCAGATCAATACTACTTTAACTTCTTGTTTTAAAATTAAACAGTAAAAACTTTTGTATATTTGAATATAGAGAAATGATTAAAGTTGTTAAGGAAGTTGGTGCTAATTATGTAGCTCATGGTGCTACAGGCAAAGGAAATGATCAAATACGTTTTGAACTTGGGGCGTACGCCTTACATCCTACCATACAGGTAAATAAAAAAATATTAACATTTGTAATAAAAAGGCATCCTATATTTGTAATTGTAACATGGATGAGAAATCTTCCTTTGTTCTTTTCGTTGAATAAGCAGATTGTTTTCCCTCTAGTAGATTGGGTGGAGCTTAACCGTGCAATAACTAGACGTCATGTTCAATGTTATTGCACATTTTTGCTGGTTTACACTAATTTTAGTAGAAGTGGGGTGGGTTTTCTGTGCAATAACAATAAGCATGTTGAGCAGTTTTCAATGTTACAAGTCATTTATAGCACGCTTCATTCGTTAACAGGTTTAACCCCTCGGCCTTCGGCCTCTGGTTAAACCCCTCAGCCTTCGGCCTCTGGTTAAACCTGTTAAGTCATGAAAGCTGTGCTATAAATATAACTTAAAGCATACAAAATAGATATCAAAATATGAAGTCACATATTTAAATGTATGTTTGTGTATTACAACTGAACAAATGTACATTTATAAAATACAATTATTCCACAATAAATGTAATTTTATATACCAACAAATGCACAGTCAATGTAGGTTTATTAGATAAAATTGCAGTATAAATGTATTTTTATATAGTACAATTGACATGTGTTCACTTTATTATATTTTATTTAAAGGTGATATCACCATGGAGATTACCTGAGTTTTATAACAGATTTAAAGGACGAGATGATTTATTTGAATATGCTCAGGTAAAATATCTAGAGTTTTATTATACTTAATAAATAATTCATATCAAATAAAATACTATGTAACAAATCAAAATGGGATTCACAAGATCTATATTATTGATAAAAACTTTTATCACCCAATAATACATTCTACAGTAGATATCGCTTGTGTGATAAATTTAGTTAGGAGATATCGCTTTACATGAATTTGATTGGTCAATCAAAAAGTTCATTTTTTATTAAAAGTAACTTCTTTCTTATTAAAAAAGGAACTATTTTTATTTAATTGACTGTCATGGAAACACTGGGTCAATATAAAGGACTTTGCAATGGATGAATTGCTGTCAAAAAATGATGTATCACTCACGTAATGTAATGAGGTTCAGTAAAAGTGAAATCTATAGCAAAGAATTATAATTATTTATTTGTACATGTAAGAAAGGATTGAGTGATAAATAACATCTCCTACTCGTCTTTTTTGATATCAAAAAATATCAACACAAGTCGATAAAGTAAAAAAACCTATTAGCCAGAACAGCTATAATATATCATTGTTTGCAATTAAACAAAAAGTTGTAGGGACTGGTCTCACATTGTGAAGATGCCTTTGAACCTCATCCCTCAAGTGATTGATGGGTCTCCGATCAAGCTTGAGGGCTGGCCATGGTAGAACACGGATGTTGTGCAGTTGGAGAAAGGCCATGGTAACACGGGGATGAGCGTTGTCCTGCTAGAAAATGTGTTGTTGATATTGTGCAAAAAATGGAACAACATAAGGTCTTATCACTTGGTCGATGTAATGCTGAGCAGTGATGCCATGTCCCCAACCTTGACCAACCTACTGGAAGCACATGGGTCCAAGTATCACATTAAGTCCAATCACTGTCCATATCATGACACTATAGGTCCTCCCAATAGATTCCGTTTCCATAATGTTTTTGTGGACAAAACGATCACCTCAACGTCGTTTGCATGGAAGACACAAAAGCAATTCTCCTCAGAGAAGATGAGAAGTCTTCACTCATGATGTTGCCAATTTTGATGACCATGTGCCCACTGAAGCCGTGCTTGTTGATGCCTTGGTTGAAGAACAAGACAACGTTGGTGACTTCTGAGGTTGTTGGAACGAAGGCATCGGATCACAATGTCCCAGCTAATGCATCTATTATGTGTTCCTATGGTCTCTCGAGCAGTTTGGCTTGCATTTACGAACAGATCTCGCTGTTAGTAACGTCTAATCCTATTACGACTGCTGCAAAAGAAGGTCATATGTGTTGATGCTGGAGACGGTAAATTTTGGTTATGGTTGCGTTGAAATGATAGGCAACTTCTTGCACCAACTCTCCAGCTTCCAAACGTCCGATAGCCTGGTTTCTCTGCATTTGAGTTAAGCGTGGCATTGTTGAACAATAGGCCTAATATTGATCACAGTTTTATACCCAGTAAAGTTTGTGACAATTCGTGTATGTTCGATTTCACAAGAAATGTGAGCATGATGCCTACATATTCATTGAAATGGTGTGTTCTGGTGATTCATTAATTCGATATGTTCTTACACAGGGCTATCAAAGAGCAATCAAAAAAGTTCCTACTACCATTACATGCTAAAAAGTTTATGGTTCTGCATTTGTTGCCTATTTCGATAAAAAAAAACTTGCATTTCTTTTGAGTATCTTTTAAATTTGTAAAGTGGGATTGAAATAATGTAAATTGTAGATAAATGGAATTCCTTTACCTGTGACTAAATCTAGTCCATGGAGTATGGATGCCAACATGATGCACATAAGGTAAGATTTTTAAACTACAGCAAACTTAAATCTAGTGAGCTATGGGTTTCTTCATGTTGTAGCAGTCTGGTAGTAATTGAAACAGGACAGGTGGCAGACTGTACACTGGACAAGGCTTTAGAGCACTATAACTCTTCTAATTCAGATACATGTAGAATGTTCAAACTTAGTGTAGATGTTCAGGAGGTGAATGCCTTGACTTAGTTCGATGATGAGCATTATCTTCTTCTGCTAAGCAGAAATAAGTTGGTCATTGACTGAACATCTACACCTGATAATCTAGTGCTTAATTTTAACATATTCGAGAGAGACATTGGGTTTAACGTCCACTCGACACAAACTAGGTAATTTCGGGACTACCATATTGTTCAATTTAATTTCAATAATTCACTTGCGCGTAGGGGCCTTATACATGTAGCCGTGGGAGGAACCGAAACGACCTGGACAGGCGACCTGACTCCTTGTCACTACAAACAGGGAATCAAAACCATACCATTTGACTCTAATGCAGATCTAATGATCTAAAGCGCATGAGTTAAAACATTCGACCAGTCACCCCCCCACACACACACACACACACACACCCCAATCTTAATGGTCCTGAGGTTTATTTGTATATTTTTGTTTATCAAGTTATGAATCTGGTGTGTTAGAGGATCCCAATCATCAAGCACCACCAGGTATTTGTCAGATGATAGTAGATCCAGAAAAGGCTCCTGATGTTCCTGAAATATTAGTCTTAGAATTTAAAAATGGTGAGAATAGCATCTTAAATACTTGAGTTAAAAAACATACAGTATGTAAAATAAAGACTATTTTAAGTGAATGGAAGATTCTAGTGGTATGTAAAATAAGACACCTTTTCATATTGTAATCCAATAGTATTTCTTTGTAATGTTATATACATTCACTTTGCTTCATTGTGAAATGTTCTAATTATTAGAGCAGAATACAAAATAGGTGGAAAATGAATAAATCTTGATAATAAAGTCACATTTTACCTATTTTTTGGCATTCATCATTTTCACTTTTTGCTTATGTGGTGTACAGTTTATGTTGTTTTATCAGTGTATTTATGGTGTTAATAGATGTTTATGGTGTCATATTATTTAATGTGGATTGTGGTGTTATATTAGTATTAGTTTATTTCCAGGTGTACCTATTAAAGTTACCAATAAAACAGATTCTACAGAAATAACCAAACCATTAGATCTATTTCTCTATCTTAATAAAGTGGGGTATGTTTATTTCTCAAAATTAATATAGGTGTATCTTGTATATTAAAAATAATATAATGTGTTATATGGAAATCGCAAAAGTATTGTGCTTAACCTTCTCTGGCCAAGAGAGTGAACTTTCTTATAAGTCCAATGTACAACTTTTTATACGCCCGCATTTTCATGTGGACGTATATTGTCGTCGCCCCTGTCCGTCCACAATTGTTTGTGAACAGTCTACAGGTCACAATTTTTATCTGATTTCAATGAAACTTGAAATATAGGTTTATCACCCTAAGACCTCGGTTCCTTTCGATATTGGCATGTATCGGACTGTAACTTCATGGATTATGGCCCCTAATTGTACGGAAAATCACGTTTTTAGCTTGTGAACACTGTAGAGGTCACAATTTTTATCCGATTTATTTTAAACTTGAAATGTATGATTATAACCCAAAGATCTCGGTTCCTTTCGATATTTGCGCATATCTGAATGTAACTTCCTGAATTATGGCCCCTGATTGGACCCGATAGAGGTCATAATTTCTATCCGATTTAAAAAAACGTATTATTATATCCCCGTTAGAGTTCGAATTTCGTGAAAATCAGCCCAAAACTGACAAACAAAATGGCCGCCCTTCGTTCTCAAATAGCGTAAAAATATGGTATATCAAGGTTGTGAACCCTATAGAGGTCACAATTTTTATCCGATTTTGTTGAAACTTGAAATGTAAGTTTATAACCCAAGGATCTCGGTTCCTTTCGATATTCGCGCATATTGGACCGTAACTTCCTGAATTATGGCCCCTGATTGTACGAAAAAATCCCTTTCTTTTTAGCTTGTTCTCTATCCATCTCTCGAAAATGTGGGCGTATCCTGCCTGGCTGCCGCTGGTTTTCTTTTCTGTTGGATGTGTTCTAACTTCTACTGGATATGGAGATCTCTATAATTAAATAATTAATAATTTACTCTTCAGTGGAAGAAATGGTGTTGGCAAAATTGATATTGTAGAAAATCGATTTATAGGCATGAAATCTCGAGGTAAGAAATAGTACTAGTTTAAAATGAAACACAATAATTGATAATAAATTTATTGAAATTCCTTCTTATGGAGATTCTTGCTGTGATATTGTGCATTGTAGTTGTGGGGGGTAGTATTTAGTCCAATATTTAAAGTGTCTACAATTTTCCAAAGTAGCCATCCCCGAAATAGTTCAATAGTAGCAATTGCTTATGAATGGTTCAATATTTTCAGCTGAAACTTTCAAACACACTATTTGGGCTAGGTACAGTTAAAACGACTTTTAATAAATTGTACAGTAAACCTCGCAGAAGTCGGATTGGTACAAGTCGGATTTTTGCTCAACTCGGATAAAATCATTTGGACCCTTTGATCCTGCACGTTTTTCTATTTAAATTTTTGTGCGTAAGTCGGATCTTCGCTCGACTTGGATTAAAATGTTTGGTCCATTTAATATAATTCAGGCTTTTTTTCTTCGCCCAAGCCGGATCGGCAGTATGTTCAGAATTTGACTAAGTCAGCTTTGTCCCGATGATCAAAAACGCAATTACCCGTTAGGTATTCCATGCACAGAGCACCAAAAAACTTTCCCCTATGATTTTGACTCAAATCAGCTTATTTGACGCGAGAATAGAATTTTCCCGGAAAACTTGTATCTTGCTGTCTGCTGTACGAGAAAATTTAGGTCATTTTTCAAAGATGGCAACAAAACGGAAGTTATCTACTCGCACCAAAACGGAAGTTGTCTACTCGCATATACGAACAAAAGCTTGAAATGTGCCTTTTGCAGTTTATTTCTAATCGAGCTAAGATTGAATTTCGTTCTTCGGCTAACTCGGATCTTCGCTTAAATAGGATAAAATTGGTCAGTCTACTCAGATCTGACTTATGCGAAGTTTAATGTATTACTTGTACACTTATAAAAGAATATACACATACCAAAATGATTATTATTGACTTTTTAATATAATTGATTGTCTCCTACAAGAATATATTATGTCCAAAAGTCTTTTCTTAGTGCTTACGAATAGTTTATATGTTGTTCTTGCAAAGATATTTGATAAAAAGTGAGTTTTCAATAACACCAGTGAATGTTCCATTTCTCAAATAGGTCTTTCAAGACCATTCCTGGAGTTTAGTTCCTCTTAAAGATCACTTTATACACATGAATTTGTAGAGGTGTCAACAATTGGCTTGTGAATGTGATAGACGCTACATACAGCTTTTGGTGGATTTTTTTCTAATTTGGCGATAGAGGACGTTCATGAGAGGACGAACCCTATTCAGCATTCCACGACTTTTCATTCCCGAATTATCCTTCCTTTGCAGAAAACCTTGTGAAAATTTATCATTCACTTGTTTTAAAATTGATATATTTTGTTTACATTAGTGAGATGAAGAAACCTCTTTAATTTCAATAATTTCCATTAATTACTTCAAGAGTTATGTCCTTTGTTTCACTTTGTTGCACCTTGTGAACGCTCTAACATCAAAAATTATCTGCCGATCTGTATGAAATTTGTATGACGTGTCATTTAAATTAGTAAAAAGAAAAATCCGATTGAATTTCAGCAATTTCCATTAATTATGTCTTAGAGTTATGGCCCTTGCTTCACTTTGTTCACCCTTGTCAATGCTCGACCGACAAATGTTATCATTCGATCTGTATGAAATTCATATGCATCATTTAGATTAGTGAAATGAAGAAGTCTATTTAATTTCAACAATTTCTGTCAATTGTTTCTAGATTTATGGCTCATGTTTTACTATACAATGTGAACCTTGTGAATGTTCGAATGACAAAAGTTATCATCCAATCTGTATGAATTTTACTTATATGCATTATTTAAATTAGTAAAACGAAAAAGCCTGTCAAATTTCAATAATTTTTGTAAATTACTTCCAGAGTTAAAGCCCTTCTTTCAGTTTGTAGAACCTTGTGAACCCTCAAATTATAATCTCATCTGTATGAAATTGACTTGGAAATTCCTACAAAAGAATAAATATGCGACAACCCTTGTCGACCGCTCAGACGATTTAGCTGATGTGCGTGCGTGTATGTTTTGTTGCCTAGCAACCTATCTTTTAAATTGGTGGGAAACATTAGGGTCATAATGGGATGAACCCTATTGGTATTCAGCATTCCGCGACTGAGATACTTGTATTCCCATTAACTAAAATTTAAACTATAATAAGTGAGTAAACTTATGCTTAATCATGATCAAATGAAATAAGAAACAAATATTAAATCGTGTTAATCATGTCCCCGCCACCACTCAAAATATCACAATATTTAACACTGTATTTGGCCCTAAATCAAAAAGGTTTAAGTACTCAAACTTTGTATTTCCACAGGTATATATGAAACACCTGGAGGGACAATATTGTTAGCAGCACATACTGATATAGAAGTCTTTACTATGGATAAGGTAGGCAGCATTATGTTGTATCCAGGACCATCTTAACAGCACTATAGGTCACCCGGCAAAGCAGTGTACTGGGGACCATACCTACACAACCACTCACAGGAATAAGTCAAAACATGCATAGATTAGCATATACTCCTGGGGCCCTTCAGAAACTGCCCAGCGTGTCCATTGCGTAAGATGGCCCTGATTTTATCCTTAAGATATAGAACATAAAATAACAGGATACGTTTTAAAGCCTGGGCACACCACAAAGTATTTGTCGACTATAGCCCGATTTTTTTTCGGTGACGATCTGTCTGGCAAAATACTCAGTGTATACTGTTTTCCATTTTCTGATTTATGGATGCAATGATTGGTTTATACAAAACTAGATCTGATGGCATCTATCAAAGGCTTAAAAAAGCAATCTCTGTAATAAAAAGTTTCATTCAGAAATAAATATGATCAACCCAATGGGTATTAGCACATGTTTATAACCAATGAAACATCAAAAACAATCTGCATAGGTTTGTATATGCATCGGCTTGTATAATTTGATGCAGACAAATAAATTTTTATTCGTTGGCAACCTGATACTGTACATGTATATGTGGCAACATGACATAACCAATTTAAATGACTGTTTGGTTTACGTTTGTTTTCTAAAAAGAAAATATCAACCATAAGAGATTATCAACCTCATTGCAGTTGTCATTTATCATTTTTATGTAATTTTCATCACAAATTTGATATTTCAGGAAGTAAGAAAAGTGAAGAGAGAGCTGGATATAAAGTTTGCTGATCAAGTTTATAGAGGTTAGTGGATATGGTGGGAGTCTGGGGCGACTATGAACAGAGTTCTATCTCCTGAAATAAGAAATACAGGTTGAAGTTACTTAAATTGTGTTAATGGTATTTATAGTCTGGAGGCTCAGTGTTGGGGTGGGGGGGGTCATCAAATGGGCACAGAACCAGACCTAACTTTTGTATAGTAAAATTTAGCGTAGAATATGATGCTGAGTAGTAATCAGTCCGCTGTTAGGGCGTTTTCAAGATATTCGGCGGACTGAACACCACTCAGCATCGTATTCTATGCAAAATTTTACTATAGAAAATTTGGGTCTGGTTCGATGCCCATTTGATGGACACCCCCACCCCTACCGCACTGTACCTCTGGTCTGTTAGTAATTGATTTGGAATACCCCATTTACTATATGACTACTACTGATAGGGATGCTAAAAAATAATTCTTAAAGCCTCAACCTGGCAGACAGTCTATATTCAATTTCCTTTAATTTATATTTAACAAAAGTAAGGACTTAAAAATGAATAGTACTCTAAACCATTCAAACAAATCGGTTGGCAGGCATCGATATTTCCGCGCACATGCGCACAGCGTGCGCAAGCACATTGGCCTTAAAAAAAAATTTTGCAGGCACATTTTTAAAGATGTACTATGTAGCCACGCCGGGCGGCGCCTGCGCACGGCACTATTTTTTGCCGCCTAACACAAAGAAAAAATCGAAGAAAGCCGCCCAGTCGTATTTAAACCCCTTCGTCCTTCTCTGTACACAAACTTGGTGCTCGAAATTTACCACGGCAATTAAACGGCAAAGCCATGGTAAAAGCCGACGTACGCAAACCATGTCTGTCACAGCATAATTTATTTTTGTGTGCCGTAGTAGACCCTATCATCCCAAATTAGTTTAACGAAAAATGTATTGGTATTTTGTTTATTTATACTTAGAAGATGTGTAGGCCTAGGTCTATTCATTTTAGAATTATTCTACGGTCTTTATATTTGTTTATTTGTCGTAAATAGGTCACCCAGACCAATTTACGGCCCTCCAATGTTAAAGGTTTGAATGTCGTAATTGTCCAACACGCGCCTGCAAATTTTCACGATGGTTCTTATTTTATTTCTTACCTGTGTTGACCGTGGATTTGCTACGGCCCGAGAGTAGGACTAGGAGGACAATGAGAGCTTTCTCAGTTTCTGCCTGACCGGATTCTCATTCCACCGTAATAATAATAATATTCCGAATATTCGTGAGACACGTACAACAACTTTACAAACAAGTCAAATAATACAACGTGTTTTAATTATCAATATCTACCTGTTGTCATAATTCGTTGTACTCAAATAAAAGACAAACATCGTTTTAAGAATCGTTTTAATTTTTAATCTCAAAGAAATATTTGAAAAAAAACCCCAACAAAACAACAAATACCGAAAGGTCCTCAACTTATCTATCCAGAGAAACAGAGTGGGGCGGGACAATTTTATGCTTGATCGGGTGGTGTCAAAAGTTTTTAGATCCCTGTATCATTGATGAAAATTAAGTGAATTTGGTAAAATTTGAATATATAAATGGAAATTTGATTTGCACTGAACCAAATACAAAAGGCAGCAGATGCTCTGAAAATACACAAGAAGGGTTTAATTTTCATAAAAGACCACGCCCCCTCCTAAAACTTTTTTGGCCTCGCTCCGCTCGTCGAATATATTTTTACATCACTCACCAAATCATGGCTACATCCCTGTGTTTCAGTATGACCCTGCAGGCATATTTTCAAGTGTGTGCGCAGGCACACTCAACTTTTATAGAGCCCTGTCGGTTGGATATCATCTTGAACTTGATGTTCATGGACAGAAATTAAACACTCTTCAGGCATCGACAAAGTACAACCCTAAAGAAAGACAAGACGGTTGTAATATAGTCATGAATAGAAAGTAATGGGAAATTTAGATTGCTATAATTTTCTTTAGACCAATAATTTTTTGGACCAATATACTTTTTTACAATGACTAGCAGTCATTTTTTTAATGAGCATGGACTAAAAGTTTATTCTTGCTTTTTATATGGATATATTTGCATATATATTTTAATTTAAGCATGTTTAAAATTTTAAAAAAGTTTAATGATCTCTGTATCCACCATACACATATGTTCTTTTTTAAAATATATTAGTAAACTGTCAATTTTATTTTCTAGGTTTTTGGTTTAGTCCAGAATGTGAATTTACACGATATTGTATTAATAAAAGTCAGGAATCTGTAGAAGGAAAAGTAACGCTAAAAATTTATAAAGGTGGTATTTATATCTTGGCTAGAGAATCTCCACTATCATTGTATAATGAAGAATTAGTCAGGTGAGTTGAACATTCCTAGATTAAGAGGTTCATGTAGGGATCATCTGTTGTAGTATCTGTACTCCGAGTTAGTCTGGAGGCTCAGTGCGGGGGGGAGGGGGGCATCTAATGGGCACAAAACCAGACCCAACTAGAGTAAAATTGTGCGTAGAATATGATGCCGAGTAGTAATCAGTCCACCGTTGGGGAGTTTTCGAGATATTCGTGGTCAAAGGTCAAATGAGGTCATTTGCACTGAAAGTGAATGTGAAGCCATTCGTGTATCATGAAAACATGCTCAAAATGATTGAAAGTAATCAACCTTTCAATAAAATTGTAAACTTGCTAAATTCACCTTTGTTCTTGGTGACCCCGGGAGGTCAAAAAGTCAAATTTTCTGTTTTTGCACTAGGTAGATTTAAAGCAGTAAATGTCATAAAATATAAAAACTAAAGGGAAACCTGTTCTAATTAATAACAGGAACATTTAAAATTTATCTTAAGTGGTCTTAGCATCAAACTTTTACTTTGGAACGTTGAAAAAGATCTTGCATAACAGAACCAAAACACTTCAAAACCTGTTTCAAAAATACGTAAAAACAGTCAAATCAAAATCTCTCTGATTTAGTTTCACAACGAATGCTATACATAATGATACTAGTTGTCTGAAAAAACAATTGAATAGTTTCATGGCTGGACTCCAGCCTGCAGGGCGTGTCACGAAACCTTCCAAACTTTTTCCCGTTAACGTTTACCAATATGACATTTATATTCCGTGAGATATTAAGTACAATGCATCTGTCGGTTTTATCTGTGTCCATGTTCCGGCGAAAATTCATGAAAACTCATAAAAAATTTGCAATCTTTTAATCACATCGTCAAATACGTGTTTTCTGGTCACAGATTAACGTCAGTTTTCCCAGATTGGGATTCCCGGAAATCCACGCGGCCTGCAGTTTCAACTTGTATGTATAACAATTGTTGTTAAACTAAATCGGGCAGATTTCGATTTGACAGTTTTTACGTATTTTTGAAACAGGTTTCGAAGTGTTTTGGTTCTGTTATGCAAGATCTTTTTCAACGTTCCAAAGTAAATGTATGGTGCTAAGACCACCTAAAGATGGAAAATTTGACATTTCGACCTCCGGGGTCACTAAGAACAAAGGTGAATTTAGCAAGTTAACATTTTTATTGAAAGGGTGATTACTTTCGATCATTTTCAGCATGTTTTCATGATACAAGAATGGCTTCGCACTGAGCCTCGGGTCTAGGTTTACAAGGGGTGTAGCATCATTCATTTACATTATTTAATTGTGATCCCCATGCTCTGCAAAATTATTTCAAAGATGAACTGGGGCTTATTCCAGGGAATTGTTGGATTCATGTGTCTTGCAAAGTTTTTGTGAGAATAGAGAATTAGACTTGAGAATCTCTTACTATATACTAACTTATTAAAATGTTAAATTGCAACTTAATGTTAAGTTTACTACCAGATACTTTTAATATCCCATATTAGAATTCTAAAATATTGATATTTATAAAGAATCTTGAAGATTTAAAATTGATATTCAGAATTGTTAGAGTGAAAGTGGTCTGTATACATTGTATAGCACCTATATGTAGCTGTCATAATTATCTGTCTTTTGTTAGACAGAAACCCTTTGAACCATCACCTTTAAAGTTTGACTGACATGGTTTAACCCAGTTACAGGAATTTATTGTGTGATGAAAAGAGTAGATGTAAACACTGTGTTGAAACTTTATACTTTCAGTATGAATGTGCAGGGAGAATATGAACCTACTGATGCTGGTGGATTCATTAAAGTAAACGCTCTACGGTAAGAATTGACTTTTTATGAAAGAAATTTATAGACCTTGGTCCAAATTGAAATGATTGCCTTTTTATGTGACCACATTTCATGTGCTCGTATATTATTGTTACCCATATCTGTTCATCTGTCCACAATGCTTTTAAGCACTCTACAGTTCAGAGGTGGTTTTTTTTCCAAACCTGCTGGGTCTTTAAGGAGGAATCCTATTGAAATTCAGGTTGAATTCAGAGTTACTACCCATGTTACTGAAACATTGTAAACAATCTACAGGGGACCGTTTTTTTAAATGTATTTTTTCAGACTTGATGGGACTGAACACTATCCAAATAAAGATTTGCTAGTTAATTTTATGCATAGTTATTGCCCTTGAAAAATATAAAGTCACCCTTCAAAATGCTGTGGATAGGCTACTATGTTCATACAGTTAAATATGGTATTTCAATTTTCTTGGTTTTTCTAGACCAATAATTAATGTGGCAATTCACTAGAAAAATTTAACTCTTTACATTGAAATATTACTCTTTTTTGTTTGCAGGTTGAGAGAATATTGTCGATTACGAGAAAAGTCAAACTAAATGAGAAGATTATTATAAGAGAGTTTAGTCAGGTCTCTTATGTGCCATTTAATACTGTATATGTATTGTATCTTTTAATTAATTTATTGCATGCTGTAACAGATATAAAAGTTATTTATACATGTTAATTTTATTAAAGGTCATGTACAATAAGTGTCATGTTTCATTTAAAGGAGCTAAACCCTTAACTCAATATTTTTCACAATATTTGAAATTAAAGACACAAATTAGAATTTAAGATTGGCCAATTCAATCAATGTTGATGTTGTTATCTTGCCGTGAAAATATGGGATCCTGATATCCGATATCATAAAGGAATTAAATAAATATTATATATTAATCACTTTATATACATTCATGTTACACTAATATGTTCTTTTAGACTCATTTTCGTCTATTTTAAGGTTCCAAAAAATAGAGTCATAAGCCCTTTAAATATAGTGTAGTTTTATCCATCACTAATTGAATTAACACATCAGATTAATCCTGGACTCAAATCAAAGTATAGAGCCATACACCCATAATTCTATAGTAGGAGGTAGGTAATAAAATATCTGGATAATCTAGATATAGAACTTAAATTATCAGTTTAACATCCAACACATACCATTACACTGTGTTCAACAACTAAGTAAAAGGGTGCAACAATAAAAGAGGAACTTTGGGAAGCAATACCGAATAACATTCTACTAGTCTACAACAACCAACCTAATGAAGACTGGCATACATGACCAAAGTAATACTTTGGTCATTTTGAGACTATCATTTAGTAATTTTCCTTTCAATTGTTAGGTGTGACTGGGGACCCTAAATAACCATAATATTCTCTAATCTATAGACAATTAAAGGTACCAAATAAGAATGACTTGGAGGGTTTACCTAAACCCTACTGTGGCTATGCATAAAAGGTGCCTGGACAGTTGATATTCAAAGCAGGGTAAATATTCTGAAATACACTTGGTTAACCAGTTGTTCAAATTTCATTCCATTTCAAAAAATAAATCCTCTTTATTCAAATGAGATGAAACTTACAAATTGAAGTACGCCGATTTGATAAAATATTAAAGGAGCTCAAATTGTAACTCAATATTTTCCATAAAATTAAAAATTAAAAACACCAATTAAAATTTAATTTTGGTCCATTTCAATTAATATTGATGTTGTTATCTTGCCTTGAAAATTTGCGATCCTAATATCCAATATTTTAGATATAATAAACATGTTAAAGTAGCTAAGTCTCTAACTCAATATCATCCAAAATCTTCGACATTGAAAACACAAATTATTTGTCAATTTAAATCAACATTGATGGTGTGATCTTACTGGGAAAAGGTGGGCTTCTGATATCCAATATTTAAGACAAAATAAACATTTTACTATTAATCGTGTACCATAATGCGTTTCAGCGCAATTTGTAATAAGGGACTCAAAAAACGAGGCTAGGTATATTTCACCAGTCGTGTCAGACGGTGACGCCATATTCTTATCTGTTGAGCATTCGCAATAAATACTATCGGTGTGGACTGGAATAACCAGACACTAGAGATCGCCTTTCGATTGAGACTTCTGGCGTATTTCGCCGAACATAACCGATTAGAAATTACAGTAGAAACAGAAACGATTGAATGTAAATCAGTTTATATACAGTAATATTACATTATTATATGCGTAACACCCCTTTATGTCAATTTCTAGGTCCCAAATATTAGCGATTTAGCCCCTTTAAAATCAGTACATGAGTCATATGTATTCTACCTAACTTTCGGATGTCATTTGTAATGAACAAAGAAAAGCATAATCTACAAGACAATGCAGAAGTAATTAGTAATGGCTGATTCACAAACGATAAAACGCGTAGAACCAACTAATCAGGCGTAAACAACTACAGCTGTTCAATTTGGACTATTCGCGTATTTCACTAAACAATATTGAATAGAAATAACAATAAACAAAATTAAAATTGAATCTAAATCACTTTATATACATTCATATTATATCAATGTGCTTTTAGACCCATTTTCGTCTGTGTTAATGTTCCCAAAAATAGAGCCATACGCGCTTTAAATTTCATAAGGATCCATTCAGTGTTGCTCATTTAAAGGTAATGGTTTAGGCTATCTGTGGCGGCCGCCTAGAAACTTTGCCGCTAACGCCACTGACTCACAGTGATTGTTGAGACGCTATCGGACGATAGTCTGTCAGAGTCAGGTTGGTTGGCCGCACAGATACACCGTTGGGCGACCGTTAGTAGAAACTCCGATAGTCTGTTAAGTCCACTGTTTAACGGCACTAGAGATCTTAAAATTTGCTGTTCTCAGATTTCCTTTCATCATTCAACACTAAGAAGCCCAAGTGAACAATCAAAATGGCTAATGAAGTCGGGTTTAACGTTCTACTGCTCTGCTCCAACGGGGCTGCTACTAGACCGGGAGCTCAGGAGGTTAGCCTAGCTGAAAAGTGTACCAATTTTCACATATACTATTAAAAAAAAGTAGGGGATATTTGATTTTTAAGTGTTATTAAAGTCACCTAATGAAACTGACGAAGAAACAAATGACAAAATGAAATGAAGTTCACATTCATCGATTTATTCCAAATGATCGTTAGACTAAGTAAGGCACAGACTGACCATTATAATGGTAAAATGATACCCGGGGTCAAACAGCAAAGTTACCACAGCATCACAACCAAGTCAGTAACGGGTAAATCCTCCTCTGTTTGCCAAACAAGCATTGATCCGACGTGGCATACTCCTAATGAGACGTCTAAGGTCATTTTGGTCCAGATTGTCCCATTCCTGTTGCAACGCAGCAGCAAGTTCTTGGACATTGGCAGGACGTTGTTGACGTTGACGTAACCTCTGTCCAAGCATGTCCCAGACATGCTCGATGGGGGGGAGGCCAAGGTAATGTGGTGATGTTCTGTTGTTGGAGGTAACCTGTAACGATCCTGGCCCTGTGACATCTTGCGTTGTCATCCTGGAAGATGAAACGGCGGCCATGACGTCGTGCGAACGGCACAACATGGACTGCCAAGATGTTGTCCCGGTAGTACTGGCCTGTAACACGCCCTGCAACAACATGTAAAGCCGTTCTTCCAGCAACAGTGATGCCTCCCCACACCATAACAGAACCACCCCCAAATCGATCATGTCTGATGACGTTAACGTCTTGGAAGCGCTCGTTTCGACGACGCCACACCCTCCTACGTCTGTCCAAAAAATCAACAGTGAACCTTGACTCATCTGAAAACATCACATTGCTCCAGCGTCGATTATCCCAGTGTTGACGATCCCTACACCAACGACGTCTTGCCTGAATGTGATGATCTCTCAAACAAGGGATCACGCGAGGACGTCGGGCGCGAAGGTGACCCCTATGCAGTCGATTCCGAATCGTCTGGCCACTCACTCTCACACCAGTGTCTGTTTGAAGACGAGCGCTGATCTGATTTGCTGTGATGACACGATTTCTCAAGGCCAAGGTACGGATAAATCGATCCTGGGCTTGAGTTGTCGCCCTTGGTCGACCTGAGCGTGGTCTGTCCTGTACAGATTGTGTATCACGGTATCTGGACCATAGCCTGCTTATGACAGACTGAGAAACATTCATCGTCCGCGCCACAACCGCCTGTGTTGTGCCGATCTGTAGCATGCCAAGGGCACGTAACCTTTCATTTTGGGTAAGCCGACGCATATCAAAATTTGTTTTCTGGTCACTAAAACAATTAAACTGATGTTTCCACCCTGGAATTCAATGCCACAATGACTGTAACATTCAAAGTCAGAGTCGTGCAAATCTTGGGTTGGACCCCCATGATGATCCCAAGCATCACCTGCATTCCATGCGGTAGCTATTGGTGCGTTTGGGCGTCACATGTAACTGGAAATGTTTCTTCTGTTAGGTTCTATAGTCACTTTTTTCGTAGTCATTTGCATATTTTAGTATTATGCCCCCAAAATCAAATATCCCCTACTTTTTTTGAATAGTATATATGGTATCAAAGCATTCATATCTGGTATCATCAGAATGTAAGTCTGCCGAGTATCTGGTGGTGGGTGTGGCTGGGATTCTGGGCATGAATTCTTGGGCTAGATTAGCTCAAAAATGTACCACATGAAAATAGTACAGCAGTGTACCTTACATCTTCAAGCATTACAAAAACATTTTGACAGACATTTCTAGTGGTGGGGTACCCCCGACAGAGTTATGTAATTGCCAGACCACAGCTAGACTAGATTAGCTGAAATCTGTACCACTTAAAACTGCTTTTGAGTTGTTCAGCACCACCACAGGAATCATGAATGGTCACTGCCAGACAGTATATGCGGTGGGTTACCCCTAACAGAACAGACACACCCAATATGCCACGCCTGCCAGCTAAGCTAGATTAGCTTAAATCCGTACCACCTAAAACTGCTTGGAAGTCGTTCAGCACAACAGGAATCATGAATGATCATTGCCAGACAGTTTGTGCGGTGGGCTACCCCTAACGCACATGCCCAAAATGCCAGCCCCCAACTAGGCTAGTTAGCTGAAGCCCGTACTACCTAAAACTGCTTGGAAGTTGTTCAGCACCACCACAGGAACCAAGAATGACCACTACAAGATAGTTTGTTCGGTGGGGTACCAATGACATAAAGCCCAAAATGTCACGCCCCGCAACAAGGCTACATTTTCTGGTTATTTACTTTAATTTAGTGGGGTAAAATTTGAGAGAGATTCTCTCGAACCTTGGTATGACGGTAGTTTCTATAAGAATCTGGCCCATTGAATCCGACGAGTTTGGGTGTTCCTCCTAAAAGTGACTGCTAATTCCACTAGGAAGCCAAATTCACATTTTTGAAGGAAACTCATAATGTTCCCTAAAACGTCGTGTAATATATTGAAATATAGGTTTTCGTTGTCAATTACTTCAAATATAAACATAAAAACATGTTTCGACCAAATGGTATTTCAGTCCGATGATATTATTTCCCTTGTATTCTTATAAGGACACAAATTATACACGGTCAAACAGAATCAACCATCGGGCCATCGTGAGTCGATAGCAAATGTTTATAAAAGCTAACTGGGGCTTGTCCGACCTCATGTAAAAGTCCGACTTACGCTCGCTTGAATCACTTGAATACTCGCAATCAGTATAACAGTCTGATTCTTCCGCTTTCATCAGTATCATGCAACGGGGGTGAACCTTGTGACAGTTATTAGGTCACTCATACGCGCCGGTAAAGCTGAGGTTGGCAAACATTTTCTATCCCTTCTTCCCCTCTGTATTTTGGTAAAGAGGGTGACCGCGACTGGTGTCATAGTGGATCATAACCTGGAATACCCTTTGGTCGGAACATGTGTTTTATGTTTATATCTGAAGTAACGGACACCGAAAACCTATATTTTAATATACTGCACACCTGTGTTAGGGGACTATATGGGTTATCCTCCAAAATAAGCCCCCATTTTGAATTTGGCCCCCTAGCGGAATTAGCCATCACTTTTTAGGAGGAATAGCAAAATTTATTAGATTCAGCGGGTCAAATTACGATAGAAACCAGCTTCATACCGAGGTCCGAGAGAATCTGTCCCGACTTTGACCCCACTAAATTAAAGTAAATAACCAGAAAATGTCTCATGTCGGCCATCTTGAATATTTAAATTTTCCGAAGGGTGCCAGGGAGGCATTACCCAGATGCTGAATCTACACATATTAAAGACATATAATCCACTCAAAACCTACATTTAAATATATTGCACATCTTTTTTTGTGAACTTTATGAGTTTCCCTCTAAAATGAGCCTCCATTTTGAATTTGGCCCTCTAGCGAAATTAGCCATCACTTTCAGGGGGAATACCCTAGCTCATTGGATTCAGCGGGTCGAATTCTTCTAGAAACATATTCAAACCGAGGTCCGAGAGCAGCTGTCACATATTTTACCCCACTAAATAACCAGAAACCGCCTCATGTCGGCCATCTTGAATATATAAAAATTCTCCAATTCTGAATCAACACATATAGAAGATATATAATCCACTAATAAACATTAGGTCAATTAGGTGGACTATATTTCCATGTCAACGCTTAAAATGGGGTTTGGCAACCGGACTTTATGGTTGGTACGTCAGTGGTCACTGAGTTGAACCACTACTTATTATTCTTCATACGATTACTTAATCTTTAATAGATATTACATACTCATGAAAATATGTAATACCCAGAATTCTCAATAAGTCCGATAAAGCCAAATTTTTGGGAGGGGGCGCTTGGCTGTCGTGTCTTACCGGAGAACCTCACCAAACAAACTCTCTAGCAATGGGCGGTGTGATTCCTTGGGTGCTGAACAATTTCCAAGCAGTTTTAAGTGGTACACACTTCAGCTACTCTAGCCTAATTGCGAGGCGTGTCATTTTGGGCGTGTCTGCTAGGTGTAACCCACCGTACAATCGGTTTGGCAGCGATCATTCATGATTCCTGCGGTGGTGCTGAACAACACCAAAGCAGTTATAAGTGGTACATATTTCAGCTAATCTAGCCTAGTTGCGGGACAGGGCATTTTGGGCGTTTCTTTCAGGGGTACCCCACCGCAATATCTGTCTGGCAGTGGTAATTCATGATCCCTGTGGTGGTGCTGAACAACTTTAGCTAATCTAGCCTAGTTGGCGGGGGGGGGGGGTATTTTCGTCGTGTCTGTCAGGGTAACCCATCGCACAAATTGTCTGGCAGTGATCACTCTTGGTTCCTGTGGTGGTGCTGATCATTCATGATTCATGTGGTGGTGCTGAACAACTTCCAAGCAGTTTTAAGGGGTACGGATTTCAGCTAATCTAATCTAGCCTAGCTGTGGTCTGGCAATTACATAACTCTGTCGGGCGTACCCCACCACTAGAAATGTCTGTCAGAGTGTTTTTGTAATACTGCTGTACCATTTTCATGTGGTACACTTTTGAGCTAATCTAGCTCAAGAATTCATACCCAGAATCGCAGCCCTCACAGCCCCACCCACCACCAGATACCCGGCAGACTTACATTCTGATGATAACAGATATGCATGCATTAATACCATATAGGTGAACATTGGTATAATTTCAGCTAGGTTGACCCCCTGGGCTCCTGCTCTATACGTGCTATGAGGGAAATTTTGTCCGGACAGCGGCGCTATGACTTACTCTTACATCGAATTCCATATGTCAAGGGATCTTTTATGTGCACGTCATTGTGTACTCGGGACCTCGGTTTTACTTCCCATCCGAACGATAATATATATTTGTTTATTTTAAAAAAATATAATGGATATCCTAAAAGAGAAGTAGCATCAGGTGTTCTAGAAGAGTATGCATACTCTACCTCACGCGCGAAACCTGGTATACTTATGCATAACATTTTAGAGACACAGTAACACTCCATAAATTTATTTTAAAAAAACACAACATTTAAATAAGAAAATAAAGATCTAATTTATAAATTCTATGACATCTGAAGCCTAAATAAAGACTTGCAATAATCAGATTTAGCTCTTGCATAATGTATGTTTAATAATGAGTAATTGCTCCACTTACCTCAGACATTCAGCTTTTTTGTCGTGACATGCTCCTAATCAACCGTCCAATCACGGTTTGGGGCAATCTGACCCACTCCTCTTACAGTGCCACGGTCAATTCTTGCAGTGATGTCGGTTGACGTTGACATCGACGAACACGTCCCCCGATCATGTCCCAGACATGCTCAATAGGGGAAAGGTCAGGACTCATGGCTGGTCAAGGCATATGGACAATATGGTGACGCTGGAGGTAGTCATTCACAAAACCAGCGCGGTGGGCACGGGCATGATCATCTTCAAAGATGAAACGTCAACCTCCACGTTGAGCAAAGGGCAGAACTATCGGTGCCAGGATGTGGTCACGGTAGTACACACCAGTGACCCTTCCTTGAAGTTGAACAATATGCAAGTCCGTTCTGCCATTCATGGTGATTCCTCCCCACACCATAACAGACCCACGCCCGAATCTGTCATGCTATCTGTTAACGTTAGCATGACGCTCATTTACACGCCTCCAAACGCGAGCACGCCTTCGGTGAAATCCAGAGTAAATCTGGACTAATCTGAGAACATTACACGCGCCTATCGACGATTACCCCAATTTCTACGCTGCCTAAACCATTGACGCCTGTTTGCCATGTGCTGGAGAATTAATGGAGGCACAACACCCGGTCGTCGCGCATGCAAATGGGCTGCATGTAGCTGATTTCTAATCGCTTGGGGTGCAACTCGAATTCCTGTAAATTGGTACAAGATTACAGAAAGCTGATTGGCCGTTTGTCCTCGATTTCGCAGGACCTGTATACGAATGTATCGATCCTGGGCTTGTGTTGTGGCTCTAGGACGACCTGAACGAGGTCTTAGGTCAACATTGTGTGCTTATTGGTACATTAAGCATGTTGGCTACTGCTCGCTGTGTAGAACCGATTTGAAGCATGCCAGTAGCACGTAGACGTTCATCATGTTGAAGACGTCTCATTGCAAATTAAACGTAATACACTATAGCAAACATACGCTAATAAGTAAATCTTATGCAAGAACCGATAGGAAAGCAAACATGGTTTGGATAAACCAGCACGCGACAGTTTTCATCAACCCTTCCTTGAAGTGTCAAATTTGACAATGAACCCCTCCCACGTGTATGGCGCTATTGCGTGTCGCAAGTGCAGCTCAGTTCGCAAGTGCAGCTCAGTTCTGTTGGGGCGATAAGTTCTTCATCTGTGAACATACTCTCAAAGCATGTCAAGTGTCCATAACTATTTATTATATCACAACCTGCATAGGTATTTGTATTTCAATATTCCCTACTTTTTATGAAGAGTATATATTGTTTAAGTTCATATAAAGGAGAAAATAAATTAAACATGCATTTATGCAAGAGCAAAATCTGCTTATTACAAGTCTTTTTTTAGGCCTGAAATGTTATCTAAATTATCAAATAAGACATTAATTAACTTATCCAGACCATAATAAACTCTCGATGTCAAGGCTAGCCTTCGATGTTGGCTGGATTAGATTCCTATATGCCGCTAACGGCCGTTGATAATTAAATCAATAAAAGTGGATAATCGAGACTAAGCTGTTTATAATAATGATTTTAGTAATATTGCCAAAATTTCTCCCGCTTCTTTCTCGGCTCATAGTGGATCAATTTGACTGAAATTTTCAGCAAATTACCTTTACACTATCTAGTTTTTAACTATTATCGTTATCTTATCTCCCATAATGTATCTTTAAAGATGTGTGATTTTAAACATGAAAACAACAATATAGACTATTATACAATAGAAATAGATTATACAAGAGAGGACAGTGATGTACAGACATGGTAAAAAATCTGTTAGATCCAATATACAGTGTAGTATTACATAACAGGTCTGGGCAACGTATTACTGACACACGGGTGTTGTGGTCGGGTCAGGGTATTACTGGCGTAAGGGTCTTGTGGTCGTGTCAGGATATTACTGGCATATGGGTCTTGTGGTTGTGTCAGGGTATTACTGGCATACAGGTCTTGTGATCTATTCAGAGTATTGCTGGCGTATGCGTCATAAGATCTATTCAGAGTATTGCTGGCGTATGCGTCATAAGATCTATTCAGAGTATTGCTGGCGTATGCGTCGTGTGAAGCACTATATACAGATAGTTTACTTTCATTCAAAGTATTCAATGTATCCATACGAAGTTCTTCTGTTTCCAATTCATCGATCGGTGTTAGATTGAAGTTCTTCTTCTCTTGAGCACCCACTGTAAAACACAAACATGGAATGGCGAACATAGATTTTTTTCTAATTATTTAAAAAAAAATTGTCTATTAAATTTATGCCGTTTTCTTTCTTCAGTTGTATATCCCTCTTTATCTGGGTCCTAAAGACACTTGGGGTGGGGGTTTACATAGCTTGATACATAAAATTCCACAAAATCCTTTGAAAGGCTTTGATTATCGGAACAATTGATCGTTGTCTGATCACGACGCGAGCGTCCTATTCACTGGTGCTCAGTGAATAAGACGCTGACCCGGTATTTTCCGGTGTGGTCTCCCCTTCTTAGTGTTGCAGGACGGAGAGAGCCTGACAAGGACGGTTGTCTAGTTTTTCGGATGGCAAAATTTCCCCTATAGCACACTGTATGGCCCAAGCCCGTCTTCATTAGTCGGAGCAATAGAACGTTAAACCCCATTTCATTTCGGATCAAGGAGAAATATATTATTATGCTGTCATCAAATGAACTTAAATCTGGTTTAACGTCATACTTTTCTGCATCAACTTGGCTAATGCTTGATGACGACCAGGGAAGCCTAGTTGGAACGCACTGTAATGAAAGTTAAGTAATTGTTATTCAATATATATAGTTAGTTTTATTTATTTATCGGCTAATGACGCAATATGGTATGGGGGATTATTTCCCAGACAACGGCGCTACGCCCAACTGGTTGGTTGGCCAGCTGTGCCTAGAGCCACCGCGGCCTACCGCCTTTCTTAAACATGTCGTTAGCTGTTGATGCGAAGAATAAATAACATCTCGCAGTTTTAATTAGAATGAAAGCCAGCTTACTTACAGTAATAAACAGCCTTTGGATTACGTTGTTTCCATAGAACGAGGATGACGACAACAGCCAAGACCAGTATTAAAACACCACACATTACAGCTATGATATAAATACCACTAGATGCTTTTGCTGGATCGGACGTAGAATCGGGTGTGACTACTGGTGGGATCAATGTGTCTTAAATAAACAAGAAAATTATATATAACCATCAATTACACTATCTTACAACCAAACATATTTACGTCATTATGTTAATCCTGATTACGCTATATCAAATTAGTATGCAAGAGCTAAACAGGAAAAAAGGATCCTCTTGATTTCGATATCAGTTGCGTTTAGGGGCCCCAAACCCCAATACGATTCACGAATGTCACATTTCTGGATAACATGCTTTCGGTCAATTGGAATATCTTTTATTTTAGCGACTTCAGAGATTATTTCCAGAACAGATTACATACATAATTTTAATCCGAGATAGAGAAATATTTTTTATCCCATTATGTTTATAACCATAAGTCACACCCACCTCCAAACATTTTATTTTTTGGGCCTCGCTAGCCCGACAGCATCACCTATACTACTCTGCCCGCCCTATTTCAAAACAAAGCAGACCACACCACTTATTGTAATGGTGCTTGTATTAATGCACCGCACCCCGATTCCAACAAATAAGTTTTAGCGAATCCATGATTCGCGAGGAATACTATTTTTGGATTTAGCTTATCAAAGTTGAACCTACCGTTAATTTTGAAAGTGAAGGTGACGTTTACGGTTTGATCTTGGTGTGATAATTGACACGTGTACAGTCCCATCATGGCCGTCAAATTTTCTGGTTTCACTAAAGTCGAGTTGAATAGAAATGTCCCTGTAACACTGTCATATTCGAAATATGTTTGATAAGGCACCAGTACTTTATTATTCAAGAACCATTTTCTGTCAATAGTGCGACTAGGATCTGTTGTAGCATTTATAGAAAAATCAACTACTTCCTCTTGATTGTAAATAATGGTACTCGGTGGTCGGGACCAGATTTTGATCGGCTCTGAAAATAAATTATATTACATTGTTACCAATCGAATTAATTTTGAATTACAATTTCGTTTCGCTTGTGTTTTCTTTTTTTACACCATATTATTGCCATCAAGCCCATTCCCTATCACAAACGTGCTCTACCAGTGACAGTTCTTGTATATCAAACGGGGATGTCCACATTTGGCCTAGAAAGTTCCTGTTTTTTTGGTGTGTTTCCCCTTGTCAGTGATGCAGGATGGAGGAGCTAGCAAGGATCTGACAGTTGGAACTCGAAATATGGACATATGGATATGTTGATTTAATTAAATTATTTACACTTAATGCTATGAAATTTCTTACATGTTATTTCAATGAATTCATTATGAGTGACCGTGAACGCGAACTCGGCCGAATTTTTGTTTGTGCGGAAAATTCGCGCGGACGATTTTCATTAGCCAATCAGAGTGGGAGGTTAAAGTCATACATATGTGTAGCCGGACATGGCCAAATCATAAATGCACCATTTTCATCTCCGAATTTCCGTACACATCTTCGCTTTCTATGAATGATGATTCGCGCAGTGGTCGCAATTTGCGGTCACGCTCACTATAAACACGCTCCATAAATAGCATGTAAAGATCTTGTTTTTGTCATCCATACATTTCTGGCATTGAGATCTTCTTAAAATCTTACTTAAGACATTCAGGAAACCATCTTTAAAAACAGAGCCGACACTATTCGACAATCGACACTGGATGCACATAATGTCTCGATCTCGTGAAACTCCTTTGATAGTGAGAGTAGTCTGATCTGGGTTAAGTTCGATCTGCCGACCATTTTCCGCTTCTAAAAAAACAAAGAAACCAGATACAAAAATAATTAACCGAAATGCCCTCATGACCTGGGAAGGATCGTAGCTCATTCATATAAGGACAATAAAACTACTAGTACTTCTGTCTCGAACTAATGTGTTAAAATTTAAAAAGAAAAAGTCGTTGATTATAGCAATATAGGAAGGATGTTTTATGATCGTTTGTACATGTTTGGTTCAATAAGCGTTGACGTCGCCCCCCCCCCCCCCCCCCCACACACACACATTCTATTCCGGTCCCGATATGTCCAAGAAATCATCATCAACAGGGCGATTTTTCAAAATTGTCTCGGAGCATGGAGAGCCCCCCCCCCCCCCAACCACCTTGCCGTCAAAATACCCCCCAAAAACACATATACACCCCCTCCCCTCTCAAAATTGCCCTAACCCCACCAGGTCCTGTTCAATCAACTACAACGTTGGATTTAAATCGACATGACTCACCTTTCTGTAGGCTTAATGATTCACCATTTATATACCACTCAGTCATTGATACTGGGCGTTCCCCGACCGCGGACCTTGCCTTGCAGTTAAATGTGACGTCATCGCCTTCCACGGCATGACGTGAGATAATGGTTTTTGTCCAAATCGGGGGAGCTGAAAAATGTCAACACAATACATTTTACATAAATCTTACATGCATCGTAATTTTGAATTCCTAAATACTTGTAAGCAGCTAATAACGTATATCAAAGATAGGGTTATCTGTTTAAAGCTTGGCGCAGACGGTCAACTTTTCGTTGCTTGTTGCTGCAATAGGCAACTACTGGCAACTCCGATAAATGGGCAACTCGAGGTCTCCCGTGTGCGCTGACTGGCAACGAGAAGCAATTTTTCCCCGGATGTATCCGGAATGCCGATATCACGTGATCATTCAAAATAGCGCCGTACATACAACAACATATATCACATGACACTAGAGCGCTCGCTGATTGGACAGTTAACCAGTTGCTTGTTGCCTGTTGTCGCCTACCGCCGCAGACGAGCAATTTTGAAGTAACATAAATATGAACAATTTCTCGGCGACGAGCGATTTTCTGTTTGATATTTGGCAACGAGAAGCAACTCGGAGCAACAGCAGGCAACTATTGTTGCCCGATGGCGCAGACGAGCGATTTTTTCTTTCAACGACCAGCAATTTCACTGTTGCCTGAAAGTTGCTCGAAAAATTTGCCCGTTTGCGCCTGGCTTTAGAAGTTGATGACAGATTGCTCTATCAATTATTTTTTTTTTTGACCCGGCCAAACAGAATTTGATTAAGTCCAGATTATGATGCATTTTCATACTTTAAAGTTGACCATTTCCGAAGAATGACAACACGGTCGTACAGTATGCTTTCTCCGTAAATAGTGTGTATTTTCGTGTTTTGGTATAAAGTTCAGCTTTCGAATACTAAAGTCAGTTAATATGTTCGTTTTTGGTTTAAACAATTCGAACAATTTTTTTCCCGGCTGTCTAGTCGTTCGGGTGGGACAAAAAACCCGAGGTCCTGTGTACACATTGACGTGCACGTAAAAGATCCCACGACAGTTGGAATTCGATATAAGAATAGGCCGTAGTGCCGCTGTGCGGGCAAAATTTCCCTCATAGCACATTGTTTGGCGTATGCCCGTCCTCATTAGCCAAGTTCGGAGCAGAATAGTAGGACGTTAAACCCCATTTCATTTCATTTCATTTCGAACAATTATTAAGATATACATGTACTTTAGGGGCTGATTTTTTAAAAACCTAAAAGAAAAGAAATAAAATGGAATGGGGTTTAACGTCCTACATATCTGCATCGACTGGGCTAATGAAGATGGGCTTACGTCATACAGTGTGCATTAAGTGTAGTTTTGCCCGGAAAGCGGCGGTGCGGCCTATTCTTATTTTGAATTCCAACTGTTCCCTTACGTGCACGCCAATGTGTACACGGGGCCTCGGTCCTGCACCAAGGAACATGCTTAACCAACACCGGTAGCGAACCCGGGACCTCCTAGTTGGCGAGCCAGCGTCTTACCCACTGAGCCAAAGCGGCCCCCGAGCGATTAAAATAGGCCAGTGTTCAGGTCATTTCACTGATCGAAATATAAATTGCATTTATTTTATTGATAAAAGTGATAATGCCGTTTAAAATACCGGTACCTACATGTAACATTCAGTTTAATGTTAGCTCTTGCTTCACCATTAGACGCTACGCACGAGTACGACCCTTCATCAGCTTCCATAACATTTTTTATCGTTAGTTGTCGCCCGAACTTATTCACGCCATATTTCACGCCATCTGTTGTCAATTCCTCTCCTGACGAACTAAACCACTTGATATCAGGAACAGGACTGTAAATATATTAACTTTTAATTTAATTCGCTTCCGTATATTTAAAGTTATAGTGAGGTTCGTTTTTGCAACAATCTGGTTAAAACACAGATCCTATTTCGTTTCGTTTTTATAGTTCAAAATTTTGTTTTATTTGTCTTTACTACACTTGGATCTGGAAGAGTTGTTATTTAACGCGTGTTCTGAATGGTGTCAGGGATAAGCCAATGAAACGGTCTCTTACGGCTAGCTTTCGGCGTGTTTTTTTACGGAACTGTTGGTAATTCACTAGTAACATCAATGCTGATTGGTTAATCAAATGTCTGATGTCATAAGGTCATAAGTTTGTCTTTTGACCCCTGACGTGACCTATCGCTATAACTTGTCAGATCTTCGTGTAGTATAGGCCATCGAAAGTATAAAAAAAGAAACGAAATATAGATCTGTATTTTAATCAGATTGTTTTTGCAAATGATTAGTCAATAAATTTTCGGTTAAACGCTTGGATATATAAGTTTGTATTGCAGTCGTCTGACAGCAGTCATCCCAAAAACTCATATTATTAGGCCAAATAAAACCCCCCAACAGATTTACGGTTACTTGACTTAAACAACAGGGTCGGCCAAAATGGCAGCTCCCACGGATGAAAATCTAGTTATAAAATGTTGATAGATTGAAAGCCTGTGCAGATTGGTAAAACAAACAAGGCTGCTTTGCCAGAAATCGTTTGCTACCCCATACACAGGGCTTGGTGTACTTATTTTATGACGCGGTTATCACCGATTTTTTTTAGCAATTAATGGGCAATTAAACAGAGCTCGTGTACACCTGGCTGAACGTGACAGTTTATCTATGCACATGACAGGCTAGTATATAGTAGCATGTTTAAGATTTGACCTATTGTGAACACATCCATCAAATAATGCAGCATCAAATAAACATCTAATGTTAACAGGCCTGAATTACATTAATATTTAGAAAGTGAAGCGGAGTTTGAAATTTTAGTAACTATAGGCTACCGTTTATATCGGCATCTTTTGGTTTAGTAGTATTTTTCTTTCCCAGAACATATATGCTAGTTACCTTGTTTTTCGATTTTACAATTCATTAATATGATGCACTCTCGATCATCCGGATTAATCCAGACTTGTCTATCATCCGGAGAAGCGTCAGAAGGCTGGTTTTGCGCCACTCATTTCAAACGAAAGAACGCAATTCCAATGACATTGAAAAATTCCAAGCGAATATGACGGGTCTCATGAACGAAAGCAGGCTAATGAAAGAAAATCAAGGTTAGGATGTATATACAGATTTAGAGATTTTGGTGTTTACTTAAAATGTATTATGATATACATCCCACCAACAGTAACTGTAGGCTAAAACTACAACTTAATTTTAAAAAGACAAACCTTCCACCGAAAATACACTGTAAAACAACAGGTTTACCAATTTCCTCTGTCACCACATGTGTTGCCATCAGTAATTTAGGTTTTGTATTTGAAGCTGAAATTGGATATGAAGATAAACTGATCGATCGGTTTTTATTTTGATATCTTACTTTGAGCGCTGACAACAAGTGATGGGAATGTTGGAAAGTATTCAATCAAGGAAGCAGTATTAATGAACATGTAGCTGGAGAAGGTGTATATGGAATTTAGAGCTATTTGCTGTCGACAGGACAGATTAAGAGACAATCGGCGAAAATTACATCGCCGTAGATAGGATTTAGAACCATTCAAACAATTCATTTTTTCTGACAAGGCTTTTTGAACTCGTCACAGTTACGGAATGTCCTTTCGATCCAGACCGATGATTCTGTTTGGACAGTGGTTCTCCAATGAACTCTGTGGAGATAAATCAACCAAACATAGCTATAAGCTATAGATAACAATGCCAACTAACAGACACAACATTGAAATATTTGTAATAGTTCAAAAATAGATAACATTTTGAAAATTTCAGTCAATTTACTTTATCTGGGCGAAGTTATAATTGTTTGAAGTTTAGACGGGATATAGCTTAAATCATCCTCGCATTTTATAATATGACAGAAAGAGAAGAAAACAAATCATGGTATTCGCTTCGGTCGAATACAATATTAATCTTTTCATTTAACTATACGTGAACAGGTCAAATAATTAAGAAGTGTTATCGGGTGATTTCTTGAGAAAGAATACAAACATTTTGAGACTGACTCGTAAATTAATTCGATAAATATAAATTCATTATTGATGATACGATCGTACCTTGAGTATTTTCCTCCACCGTTATACGTGTTTCACTTCCAAGAACAATCTTGTCTAGTTCTTTGTTTGTAATGCCGCAGAGATATACTTGACCCGGGTGACCATCAGCTAGTTTAGTGTTCAGCAAATGGAGAGTCCCTGAAGAAATCAAAATTTGGTCAATTAATGTTTAAATACCAAGAACTGTTAGCTCACACGATGAATATCGGCCAGGTAGATCCCCAAAACAATTCTAGCGTCTTCTTCATAATGCAGAAACAGGAAACTGGTGTGTTTTTGTTGAACTATTTGTTTTTAAACAAATGTTTGAACTTCCTGATTCTGGATTTCTGTCCCCAAGATTTTACCGTCTACTTAATAAAAATATACCAGTACTATACCGTTTACATCTATCGCTAAGCTGTCTCTTTCTTTAATTTGTGAAGTTTCACTTTTATCAGTTCCAATCGTTTTGAAATACCAGGAAAAAATGGGATCAGGTCTGGATTTTGGCATGTTCTCACATTGAACACTTACACTCTCACCCTCTTTAACATTATATGTTTGTAGATCCGTGTCTTCACTAAATGCGTCTAATCCTAAATATATAGATTTGATATAATATTAATAACTCATAATCTGAAAGAGGTGTAGAAAAGATATTTTGAACTCGAGTTTTAGAAGCCAAAGCTAAATTAGTCATGGGGCGATTTAGAGAAAATAAAAAATATATGAGATTTTTAAGTGCACTCCAATGTGTACACGGTACCTCGGTTTTTCGTTTCATTCGAAAGACCGAACTCCAGACCCCTTCGTTCTGCACCACTGATAAGGTGAAACCACGCTGGAAAATGCAAATGTAATTTCTCGACAAACAATGGTCGAACCCGCGAAGTCTTGGCTAGAGAACCACTGTTGGCCAAACAACGAGACATGATGTGGACAGAAGGAATGGTGTTAAATGCATCTAAACAGAGTGTGTAAACTTACTGGCATACACAAGTGGAGCTACCGTGGACAGACTTGTACCCCATTTATTCTCAGCTACACACTGATAGTTTCCTTCTTCGCGAACAGTTGGGTTGGAAATTGTTAAATTTCCTAAAACTGGGTTAAATTCCATATAATCATTTTTTGTTATCACAATTCCATTATGTTTCCATGCAAAACTGTGAACAGATAAACATAAAACAAAAAATAAATATATATACAAAAAAGTAGAGACAAGAAATATCCAAATTCCAAATTGTCTTTAGTTTTAAGAAAGCTTGATTTCTAGATAACGCATGGTTATGTGACCCCCTCCACAAGAAGAACTAATGATAGAAGTACAATGTATCACACTAAAAGGCAAATATAGACTTTTAGTCGATACACATTAAAAGGTAGTCTTGACGTGGGCATCTAAATTTGTCGTTACTTTGTGATAATTTTATCTTTTTCTCAGAACGCCAGTAACTCGTTTCTAATGATGCACATCGAGGTGAAAATGACATCTAATAGTAAGTGCAGGAAGGCCGGACTTCACACAAAAACAAAACCGAAAAGACAAACCTACGGACAAGACAAACTACATAGAGATTTCAAGAAATAAACAACACATATCAAATCAAGTTAATGGATCCGGGGGCCAGCCGTAAGCGTCCACTAGGCTTTACAGCCCAGGGCCTTTAATAATACAGGCTTCTCTCAAAATGAAAAATAAGAGATTTACAAGAAATACATGTGATCGTCTCTTGAATGGCACTAGTCTGGCACTTGACGTCATTCACCTATACTGAACATTTGCACCTGGTTTAAACATTCTACCTCAATTACATGTAGAATGAAATTTATTGTGTTCCAAAATGTGTTGCTGACAGACCCACCTAAAAATATATTTAAATAACCGCTTACTTTCTACGAAAAACAGGGATTGAAACTTTTGTGATTGTAGCAAAATTGATAAAAACAGCTCCATAGGTATGTCACTGGTTCTAATACAGTTTCAAATGCATCTTTAGTAGAGTAAGAATAAGAGAACTTACCGAGGTTTGGGTATTCCGTGTGCTTCACAAAACATGTAAACATCTTTACCATCGCGAAAATATTGAGGTTGTTCTACGTGAGTTATAGTTGGTGGTAGACGAACTAAATAAAGATTATTATTTATTTAATCCGCATTTAATTTCTTTAATATTACGGGACGAGAAAGTCGAGTGAGTACGATATAGTACTGATCGGGCTCTCGACTGGAATGCCCCAGCAAGAATCTTCACGATTTTCTCAAATGCTTGTGAGCCTTCTCGTGGATAGTTATTTAAATGAGAGGAACATTGAATGCACGTAGAATAAAAGCCTGGGCAGTTGGAATTCCGCGGCACTCCCCTCCGCCCACCCCCGAAAAAAAAAAATGACCAAACTATTCTGCTGATGAGACGTTGAAAGTCATTACCGTCCAATCTGAGATTGGAAGCAAATCTATTAGAGCACAAGTAAAAATCTTCAAACGTTTCCTCTAAATCGCATTAAAGGAATCGTCGCAAATAAAAGTAGATTAAGCATGTCAAATCAAAAGCAAAATGTAACGATATAACTAATTTACCTTGTCGGAAAATGTCGAGTCGTTCATAAATGGTGGTTTGATATGCTTAACACGGTTATGGAAGTCATTAAAGTATTTAATATACTACGTGTATTAGATTCAAAATCAAAATTATAGGGATTTCTCGTTTAATATACCGGATATAACAGATATGTAGTCTACTATTGATAGATGCGACAGGCAGTTAAAAGGAGAGATATGTCGAGAAATATTTTCCTGTTTCAAGTACTTCTTGGAAAACTGGAGGCAAGAATTTGAAAAGAATTACGTAACCCCTATGAACTATTTTGGCGATTTTTTTAAAAAACGATCTAGTATTATGATTTGAAACTTGAGACAAGGTAAAAAGACTATATCTGTAGAGTTCGGTTTGTATGTTTAAACGAGATACCCTTTAAATATCGGCTATAAGTCGTGGGAGCCACGGTTGCTCAGTGAGTGGGAAGTTGGCTCGCTAACTTGGAGGTCCCGTATTGAATCCCAGCTTTGGCCGAGAAAGTTCATCGGGATTTTCTGACGTGATTGCCCCTTGTCTGTGATGTAGGACGGAGGGCCTGGTAAGGAACAACATATAGTCCTTCGGATGGGACGAAAAACCGAGGTCCCGTGTACACATTGGAATTCGAAATAAAAGCTGTCCGGTCAAAATTTCCTTCGTGGCACTCGGCATGTCGTATGCCCGTCTTCATTAGCCAAGTTGGAGCAGAACTGTAGTACGTAAAACCCAATGTCATTTCATTTTTGCTATAAGTAATCTTACCTTCAGCTTGAGTTCCAACATAATATAGTAAAATACATAATTTTATACATAAATACATTCTTGTTGATGTCCATCAAGTATCTAAACTCCTCATTTAACCTGTTGTAAGTATGTAATGAATAAATCAAATGTCGCTAATTTAATTCTGATTCACTGGTGACTCCTATTTCCCGTTTATCATGCAGTTAAAGGACACTACAGTCTAATCATTATCACGAAGAGATCGGAAATACGACGTATTTCCTGCTGACGTTGTCGTTGTTTCAATAATATAAATATGTTTGTACGAGAGAGGGGATGGTATATTATGAATAAAATGACGTTTCAATATAAGTATAAAGATTCACAAATCTCATATAATCTTTTCTAGTTGTGCGTGTATTAAGAGATTGAATCCACGAATTGCAACGGTCACATACACTACAAACCAGTGGTGGAGGTCACTCGATTCAACTGAAGTTAGCCGCTAATTATAACAAATTTTAAAATCTGTAATTAAGCTTTCATATTACATATTATTACTTTTTTTTGTGTGTATCTTCTGCAAATCGGATTTCTCATAATCTAACCATAGGATCTTCCTGAAACTTTTCCTACTCCCACCCAAATGGGTGGCGAGTTTTGATTAAATATATTTTCAAAACGTTTTACGAACGAAAAAACTAACAATGCATAGTCGTAACTTTGTGGGGTTTTTTTTTACCTATTTTACTAATTCTTTTTTCTTTGAGTACCTTGACAAAAAAATCATTTTCATCTGCAATTTCCGATTTTCAAATTTCAAAAATTCGTCGCTTTTATTTCGACCTGGAAGTTGAGACCAACTTGTCAATTTCTTTAATACTTGCACGATTTTCATGAAATTTGGAATGTAAGTAGATCTTACTAGTGTGACTTGAAAGATGCCATTAAAATATTTTAACTTATCCCCCCTTGGAGACATTGAGGATCAAAGTTTTCAAAATAATCGACGAAGTATGTCAGATTGCCTTGATTTTTTTCCTGTACTAGCTAAGAAATTACTGATGCGTACACAAAATATGAAATCTATCGATAGAACCGGAAGTGGCACCATCTTGCAATATTTTACTTACAGACATGGGAGTTACATTTCTGAATCCTTAAAAACGTTCAGAGTAGAATTTTGATTTAGGTCAACTGATGGTCACCATTTTGAATTGAATATGAAAAATAGTGAAAAATCTACATTAATGGTCTTGTAAATAAACACAAGAGGCCGTAGTTTGTTGAATTAGTCTTCTATTTCTGAAATTAATACATTTCTGGATAGCCGGGCTCATGGTCGAATTTTTGTTACTTGAAAAATTCAAAATTTCGAATTTCCACTTGTTGGAAATACTTGGAATAGACCGTAGTTTCGTGAATTAGTCTCCTATTTCAGAAATTTATACATTTCTGGTTAACCCCTTCCACAAATGGGTGGTGGCTTTGAAATGAATATATGCTCAAAACGTTTCACGAATCTGAAATCACTGTATTATATTGTGTTTACGTTTACATAAAATTTTCACCGGCAATGGATTTGCTGAATTTCTACATCTATAAACAATATGTAGACAGATGTTTGTATGTAAAAAGGTCATTACTTTAAAATCTTCTTCTCTAAACTTTAAATTATGGTACCACTTCTTTTATGTGAAATGAATAGTAATTTATCCCTCCTATTCAACATTTTCTGCTTTTCACTCGCCATTTTGACTGATGACTGTACAGCTATGGATAATGTCCCCTCTTTTTCCACAGTAAAGACGTGGGCTGCAGAATTTAAGCGTGGCAGAGAAAGCTTTGACCATTCAAGAAAATGTTACCCGGGTGCATGACATGGTGATGGCTGATCAACGATTGACCACTCGACATATTGCCAACGAGTTAGGAACGACACAAGTTTCTGCAAGATGGATGCCAAAGCTCCTGACCGCGGATCCGAAACGTATCAGATTCCTGACGTCCTGTGACGATCTGCGTCATTTTGAAGCAGATCCTGATAATTTTTGGGTCAGATTTGGCCCCGTCAGACTTCCACCTGTTTCGAAAAATGATGAAGAAACTATCAGGTCATGATTTTCCTAGTAATGATGACGTCATGCCAGCTGTGAACGACTTATTTAGAGTGGTTGAAGAAACATGCTTCCTGACCAGCTTCCAGGCCTTGCAACATCGTTGACAAAAGTGTGTACACTTCGAAGCAGACTATGTAAAAAAATAAATGGAAACCATCGACTTTCTACAGGTTTTTCAGAGATAGGCTTGGAACTTTTCAGCCAGCCCTCGTAGTAATGACATAATTATTTTGATGTGTTAGATATTCCTCAAAATCGTCCTTACAGTAACTTTGACATTTTGGATTCTGTACATGCCTCTACCCCTCGCCAAATCCAAGTTGTATATCCATACTACTCGCTTACGCTGTGGAACTGATACCATTCACTTATAGACTGATACAATTCACTTACAAATTGAGGCCTTTTACTTTTGAGTATTTTGTCCATTAAACTATTAGAGGTCTGCAAGTTTGATGTATAGTATGTATTGAAAGAGGTTAGAAATTATACAGTAATCATTAATTACCAGGTGTACTTGTAGCAAGCTGTAAAACATTACACTACTAGAGTTAAAACATGACCCATTAACATTGAATACACAAAACCAACCAGTTGTGGTTGAATATCGGCCAGCCCTCGTGTTTTAGTTGGAGTTGCCACTATATTTAATGTTTATGTCTAAAAATGTAAATAAGTACCACATAATAATGTAATTGTCGGTGATATCACTTCAGTGGAAGCGACGTGCATAGCTGTTGACGTACGTAGCTGTAACTTTGTGACTATTTGACCTATATTACTATTCACTGAGTTACCGGCCCTTGCCGTAAGAGGGAAGTGTCAGAATTGTTACTTTGTCTGAAACATTCGAGTCGTCAAGTCAAGTTCACGGTATGTTAAAATGTCGCAAACAGCGTTAAACGGGAAAGTAAACCCTTTGCAAATAAATCTCTGAAGGCGTTTCGTGGTTCACCCCGAAGAAATTGACCAATATTGTACCTGGTGTACCTGGATGCTAGAATGGAGGATTATCTGGCATTAGTTCTTGGCTATTAAAGTGTCAGACATGAAAGTATCTGAATATGAATCTAGAAGGTATAGTAATAGCATATTATATGTATATCAGTATTTGAAGAAAGACGTTGATATGGGTCACGCGTGACTTGTGTTTAGCTGTGGTCGATTGATTACTGTCTGATTCATCGTAAATTTTAAACGGATTTCTTCGATTATGAACAAACTACTTAACGTTGGTTATTATAAACTTACCTGTGTGTTTGTAATGAACTCCCGTTCGATAAAATCCATTGCACAACTAATTATCACAACGATGAAAACAAGTTCTCTCTTGAAAAATTGAAATATCACAAACTTTTCCCAGAGAAAAATACCAATATGGAAGATGGTTACGTCACTCTGCGGAAGATATCATTTCGTATTAGGGGTGACAGCATAGGAAATTCAAGTACAATTACGACAAGAATCCATGACCACTCGGACCAAAGACCACTCGGTTCAAGACCAGTCGGACCAACTGATAGACCACTCAGCCCAAACAAATAGACTACTCGGACCATACAAAAAGACTATTCGGACCCAACAGAAAGACGACTCGGACCAATAATAAAATGTTGTTTTAATAAATTGATAATTGCGTTTGTTTTAATATAATTACTCGAACCAATAATAAAGTGTTATTTTAATAAATTGATAATTGTGTTTATTTTAATATGACTACTCGAACCAATAATAAAGTGTTATTTGAATAAATTGATAATTGTGTGTGTTTTAATATGACTACTCGAACTAATAATAACGTATTGTTTGAATAAATTGATAATTGTATTCCAAATCGCAAAATATCGAGAACCACACTTGTAGTCACGTTTAAAAAGGGGCATATAAACGTCCGGTCTTCGTATTATTATGTGCTGTTTATATTAACGCATCAAGGGCGGATAACTTGAAAACGTGTCTCCACCCCCCCCCCCCATATATAGTAACCCAGGGGTTAGTGGGGTAGAACGGAATGAAACCACTGGGGATACCGCGAATGTGGAAAAAGTAAAATAAGGCTATCAGACAAGAACAGTATACCCGTATATGTAGAAACTGTCAAAAGTCTGGACATACCGAGTCTCATTGCAAGAGTAAAGAAAAATTAGATTGATATTTTTTTTTGGCACCATTATTAATTAATTTTAAAACTAATCGTTGATTTATTTTCCGTACACAAAATTGAACCAAACAACTCTAAATATAAGAATTCCGTATAAGAATTATTTGCTTCTTTGTATTGTGATTTAATAATAAATAAATAGCATATTGTCTAGCCTTATAATATAATTTAATTGGTCCGACTGGTCTTGTTTTGGTCCGACTGGTCTTAGTCCGAGTAGTCTTTGGTCCGAGTGGTCTGGATACCTACGACAATTGGCATTGAGTTTGAGCGTTCGCACACATAACTACCCGCATTCCTGTATTTAGTTACCGTCTTTTACATTCTAGTAAAATCTCTGCAAATTTTATAGCTTTACTTTTTGAAATATTTTGTTCTAATTATTTGATAAGCGACTCGGATGGGATTATTTACTTTTGAACACGCATGCCGCACAAACACAACTATACATTCGTTTTACGGGCTTTATCACACTTCGGTCAAAACTGTCGAATCGAGAATTAATGTTCCGCTTCTTACGGGGTCATACGGGCTTAGTAGCATTATATACCCACCCGGGCACCCAATACGGCAATAGACACGCTGAGGGCTGCCGCAACACGCTTAAAGATGTTACTGAAGCGGTTATTATTCGATCGAAAGAATGCGTATAAAATTAAAAATACACTCAGAGAATTCGGAGGTAAGCTTAATGATCCTTGTTAAATTATTTATAACATAAAGAAGATAGGATATTTATAGTTTATTCATGACTTTATTTTTACGAGTATCCGTGCAATCAGTGATATTTTAATTGTGAAGAAAATTTGATAGACTGGCAATCAATGGTTTCCATATAAATCTATGTAATTGCCTTCAATTGATATTTTTCGTCGCCCAAACCCATATACGATCAAAATGATCGCGCTGTCAAACTATCTGTCAA